ATTGAAATCAGACAAAAAAAAAAGAACAGTATCATCAGCATACATTAAAATATTTGCTTCTGAAAGCTCTGGGAGTCTTATTATTATTGTGAGGAAAGGCGAAAGAACATCTGCTGAATAAAAGGATGACAAAAATAAAGACGGCTGATGAATGCAATCTTCTTCCCAGCCACACTTACAACCATCTCTTTCACTCGTTAACAAAACACGTACAAAAACATGTATAATAGTATGGTAAATCCAAACATTACTTCGTRTTTATCCAGTCAGCACAGACTGTGTTGCAGTGTGACCCGGCTCCGGCACASCTGAACAGGTAACACTGCTTATTTTTTCTCAGTTCCTTTTTCTATTGAAAACTGTTTTTCCTCTTCGGGCTGAATGTGGAATCAGATCTTAACAAATAAAACAGAGAAGAAATAAAGATAAAGGAGGATGGATTGTGTGTTTTTTTTTATATAATATATATTTTTTTCCCTTCCAGATAGCAGGTTAAAGATGGTGCTCTTTTAAGATATGATCAAAATTGTAATAAATTCAAGAATGTTGGGTTTTAGCAGAGCAAACCAAGACAACAAATCACAACATCCTCCTTTGTCATCATCTTCTAAGGGTTGGGCGTCAGGCTAAATTTTTTTATTGGCCATCATCATTCCATTTATTCTGTTATTTATTCTCGTAAAGTTTTTATTTATTTGCTCTTTTCTTTTTTGTTTGTTTTGGAGGTGAGGTCGACGAGGCAAGTTCTGTTAAAATTTTGTTATTGGACTCRTATTTATCAAACGTCTCAGAAATCGCTGAATCGGATTTCACGTTCAATCATATTTTCTCTGAGAGGTCAGGATAAAATTGTGAAAATCTTAAGATAAGTTCACATTCAATACAATAAAGTCCATAGACGTCAAGTTGCACGGATTGTTAATTACACCAGATTTTCTCTTTACATGAATACAGACGTTTACAGAAAATCTCACGGCTTGAAAAAAAAACAGCTTCGTCTCAGAGCTTGAGGAAATGTTACGTTTACAGCCTCCTCCTCGACTCTACTCTAAACTGCCCGCAGACAACACCCCCTCCACCCACCACTCCGCCTGAGACAGCTCCAAACCCTCTACTGCCAACTCTTTACCAGTTAAGAGACCTCTGGAGCGGTCTTAAATAACACGGAGAGTTAAGAGTGATTCTTAGTCTTAAGAATTTCTTAACTTGCATTTACACCCAGGTCTGAAAGTAGGAGTAAATTTAGGAAGTTCTCAGCACTTAAACCTAAAATTCCACTTCAAGAAGTTTGATAAATACGAGCACTGACCAAAAAACAMAAACAYCACAGATTTKGAATCACTTTGATTTTAAACCTGTGTGCAAACCGAGTTGATAAGAGCTGGAATCTTAACCGGCCATGGCTTCATTGTTTTTATAAAACCATAAAGYAGCAGTGACTAAAGGACCGATTTTAAAAACGGGGATCTAAAACAGCGGTGAGGTAGTTCGTGTGTTACCAACGTTTAAAAACTTTTACGGTCAGAGGTCTTTCTTCTATGTTTATACTAATTCATGGAATGACATTCCTCAAAACATAAAGTCCATTTCAAAACTACAGCCCTTTAAGAAGAATCTTGTCTGCCATCTGCTGGACACTTTTTGTTGTGCTCATATTTAGACATCCTATTTTGCAAATGCTGCCTTCCTGAAATTTGGTATGCTTGTTTGTCTTTGTGTCTATGGAGTATAATGATGTGATTGTGATGCTGTATTTCTGAGTGTTTTATGTGCTGCAGAACCGGGAACCTGCTGTAAAACAGCAATTATGCTGAGTCAGGCTTGATTTTTAGTAATCTTTTCCTGTTGAATCAATAAATCAAATCAAACAGCTGATAGCTGCTTGTGAGAGGACTACAATTGTTGATGGTCAATGTATTTGTCCAGGCGTCCAACCCTCTCACCTATTCCTTATTTTAGACGTTTTTCCTCCTGCAACATGCAACTTCTTAAACCCAAATCAGACATATAATTCTTACATTAACATAAAAAAAGAACAGAACTGATCATAACACTGAGCCTGTTTTATCTGTAGATGTGTCAGATATGAATGGAACCAGTCTGGTAGTGTGGAGAAGTTCAGATCATGGCACAGTCAACGCTACAGTCCATGCCCACGTTTTCCTGCTACGAGTCTTTGAGCATGTTGATGCGTGCAAAGATCTTAAGTGCAGGTCCCAGCTTAATGTTCATGGTGCTCATTAGGTGGTCTTCCTTCAAGAGGAGCAGGGCTTGACCGTCGATCTCCTGAGAGCGAAACTCGTCTGCGATCTCCTGACAACCTGCACAGCAGCAGAGGAGGACATCAAATCCCTGCACAAACTGCACGTCCAGCTTTATGAACGCACCGACTCCACTGACCTGGTAGCGAACAGATGAACTCGTAGACTTCCTCCACGTTCCACTTGGTGGGGTCGTTGGGGAGGAAGCGATCGCAGAGCGACGGCGCATCTCTGCCGGTGCTGCCCTCCTGATCCGAGGACCGGCTCGGCTGTCGATGGACGGGGGCTTGGGCTGAGGCTGGAGCGGGAGCGAGGGGCACTGAGCTGTCTGCTGACATGGGGGAAGGAAGCTCTTCGTAGCTGGACATGTCTGAACAGGGACTGGACTCCTCCTGACTGGGCTGGGAGGCGTGTGGCGAGGATAAAGAACCGCCCTGAGTCTGCTGTGGAGAGGGGGACAGTTTCTGAGGGGAAAATAAAACATTAAGAAAGAAACCAGAAGGATCATTAGTAAAGAGCTGAAACATCAGCTAGAACTAGACTGTGATAGTCAGAGGTTACTTGTACTGGTTTTGGAGTCATTTTAAACCATACTGATTAAAGGGATCCCTGATTAGTTGTAACATTAGACTTTTTTTGATAAACATTTATTTTAACTGTAAAATAAAGACTGTAAAAATACTGTAGGCTGTTTAATTTTGTGAATTTTTCAAAAATATATTTCAACACGGATGGAGCCATTTTATTTACATGCAAAGCATTCTGGGTAAATGATGACGTGGATACAGTATGTCCTCGGTGTGAGC